CTGATTTATGGGCAGCGAATGAGTCGACAGAGACCAGCAGAGAAACTTAGGGGATGGGTATAGCCATGATTTTGGCCCGTGGGTGCCAGAGACTCCTCCTGAGCCACGCAGTGAAAGGACCTGCTCAGAGATGCTCCGTTCGAGCCCCACAGGGGACAGAGATGCCACCAGCCTCGGAGTTATCAGCCAGAAAACACCTGCAGGAGAAGATTCACCCAAAATCCAGGTTTTGGGCAGAGCAGGGACCCTCCGGGCTCTCAGCAGCGTGCCACAAAAAAAAGTCCAGCTCTGTGCCGGCTGCTGAACGGGAGGATTTGGCTGGGGAGCCCAGACGTTGGCAGCAAATAACAGCCCTCGGGTGAGCTGCAGTAATTGAGTGCTGACTGCACAGGAACAGCCGTCCTCGGGGCTGAAAGGGAGCCGGATCGCCAGCCAGGCTCTGCCCTGCTGCTCAGCACACCTCGCTGTCACAGGCCTGAGGGTCACTCGCTTTGCTGGGGGGGGGTGGGAAACTCCCTTCAAACAGCAGCGGGAGGTACCAGGGGCAGAGACCCACCAGCACCGTCCTCCTGTCCATCCCAGCTGTCCCGTGGGGATGGCATCCGCAGGGCACAGGACGAGGCGATCCCCAAGGCCAGCAAAGAGCCAGGACTAGCAAATTCCAGGTTTGCATATACAAATCTGCTGTAAAGTCATACGTGATGCTTGCTTATGCCTTAAGATTTGGGAGCGGCTCTTTGGGGGTGACATCCTGATGCATCAACCAAAAGTAATGAACCCAGCTAAAACCAGAAGGAGAAAGCCATGAATGTCACATGGGGATGAGCAAATGCATCACAAATATATACCAGCCTCTTAACTAAAAATATAGAAAACTCAGCGAAGGATAAAACAATAGAGGGGGGAAATGACAGTGTAAAATTGATCCAGACACACGACTAAGGAGCCTTGCATTTGGCTGGAAATATTACCCTCTTCACAAAACCGAGCGCTGCACATTACAACGTGTGGCATAACATGCTGCGCTCACCAGCTAAATTACATAAATATAAATCTAACACTTCATCTCCAAGAGCCTGGCGACAGCGGAGATGTCAACACACGCAGAGCCAAAGGACTGCGGACGGGTCGGGTCTGTCCGTCCGCCGAAACAACGCCGCGGGTCGGGGTCACGGGGGGATGCTGCATGAGAGGAGATGGCGATGGGGACGCTGGGGACACCCTGCTGCTGGCCCTGCCTTGGTGCCAAGGTGTACATACAGCTGACACCCATTGCCTTTGCAGGGTGCTTTGGGGGAGCACTTAAAACACTTAAATAGAATCACAGAATCACAGAATGGTCGGGGTTGGCAGGGCCCTCTGTGGGTCACCCAGCCCAACCCCCTGCCCAAGCAGGGTCACCCAGAGCAGGCTGCACAGCACCGCGGCCAGGCGGGGCTGGAATATCTCCAGAGAAGGAGACTCCACAGCCTCCCTGGGCAGCCTGGGCCAGGGCTCCGTCACCCTCAGAGGGAAGAAGTTCTTCCTCATCTTCAGCTGGAGCTTCCTCGGCTTCAGTTTGTGCCCGTTGCCCCTTGTCCTGGCACTGGGCACCACTGGGAAGAGTCTGGCCCCGTCCTCCTGACACCCACCCTGCAGATATTTAGAGGCATTTCTAAGGTCCCCTCTCAACCTTCTCTTCTCCAGGCTGAACAAGCCCAGCTCCCTCAGCCTCTCCTCGTAGCAGAGATGCTCCAGTCCCCTCTCGTAGCCCTCCACTGGACTCTCTCCAGTAGCTCCTCATCTTTCTTGAACTGGGGAGCCCAGAACTGGACACAGTGCTGCAGATGGGGCCTCACCAGGGCAGAGTAGAGGAAGAATAGGGCCAAAGAAAATTCATCCTTTGCAGACGTAACATCTTTGCAATGCCAGCACTGAAAAAACCTTCACTGTGGTGAATAAGGACAGTCCGGCCACTGGTGCCACCACCAGCAATTGCCAGGGGCCAACAGCATAATTGCTGGTGTAATTGAAATATATAATCACCCTCCCAGGTCAGTCTGTCTCGGCAGCCCACGGCCAGACCCTGTTGCAAGAACAACCTGTCCCCAGGGCGAGTTTCTTCTCCCGGCTGGCAGCGGGGGGGTCGGTTTGTGCCTGGAGCAGAAACGCTTTCCACCGCGACGGCGAAGGCTTTAACGTGAGGCTTTGCTAAAAATTGAAACTGAAGGTCAAGTTGATAATGCATCAGAAAGCAAACAGCTTGAATGCTAACTGCTAACTACAGCAATGAGCATTATTGCTTGATGGAAATAAAAACCGACTCCGAAGACTCGGGCTCGGCAAGAGAAGCGAAGCGGAGAGCTGTTCGGGAGGAGAGCGGGCGATGCTCACCCCGATCCCGGGGTCGGGTGGGAACCCTCAGGCAGAGCCAGCAGGGCCAGGGGCTGGCTCCCTCCCCCCGTGTGAATACCCCAGCACGGGTAAGCTCCACCACCTGACAAACTGCTTGCAAGCCCTCGGCAGCAGCCAGATCCCGAGTCACCGATCACCCTCTTACACCACGTTCACGGGCTGGAGGCACCTTGAAGCAGCAATAAATCGCAGGACCCTTTGCACTGGCAGAGAAGTGCAAATGAGAGCCAGGCATACCCAAACAGGCTATAAAAGAAGGGGACGGATCCTTCCTCCGTTCTCAGCAGCTCCATGCTGGCGTAAAGCCTTTCGGTGTCAGCGGAGCCGTCCCTATTTCTGGGGGAAGCCACAAAGGCGAAGCAGGCACAGCCCCGAGCGTCCTCCAGCCTGGCAGTTGCCCCCACA